GGTTTTGCAGCAGCTCTGCTGGGATAAAACTCAGCCTGTACCAGTGTGAGTGCTGAAAGGAGCCAGCTCCTTCCTCAGCAGCATGGCTGGGTTCATTCAGTCAATCACTTGGCAGAAGGATGTTTAAGCATAATTGCATATCCCCTCCCTGTCTTTAAATATTCAGAGGAAAAGTCACAGAAGAACTGATAATGTAACAATAATAATGGGGCTGAAGAACAGTATAATAGTGTGAACTCATCTATCCCTTGGTTTCATTTACATGTTTAACAGCTGCTTGTTTCTCCATTATAGAAACATCATTACCAGACTTGTAAGAAGAGAGGGGGAGTCTGTTCACCTTTGGGCAACTAGCTCTGCATTTATTAATAGTTGTTGCCCATCTCATTATACATTTAATTGCTGCATTATAATTTATTTATTCATTGATTTATTGTAATAGATGAGTAGAAACAAAATTACCTTTGCAAATTACTTTGATAGGTGGGAAGTTTGCATGGTTAAAAATACCCCAACATGCAGTGTGGAATGTGAGATGTTCCCCAGTGAATAAACATCTTCACACATAAGCACTAGCAGAGTCAAACTACTCTCATTACAAAGTGAAAGTAAATGCAGCCAACTTACATACTGTTTAAAAAAAATATATAATTGTAACTTCTATACAATTATCCTTACCTTCCCAGATGTCTCTGCTTCATGGAACAGGAAATCAGCTGAAAAATGAAGGACAAAGAGGATGGAAAGCAAAGACTCATCAAAAATTAGAAAGCCACAGGTGTAGGAAGTTTGCAGAGCACGTGGTGAATGAAGCCAGGCCTCGCTGTCAGTGCGGGTGGGAGCTCCAGCCGGGGCAGCTCAGCCCCAGCACCCACATGGGGCCATGGGAGTCAGGCACAGGCAGAGACAGAAAATACACACATAGAATTACTTCCATTTTCAGTTATTAATACATATAGGAAAGAATCAGACCCAGAACACCTCCAATTTTTTTTTGTCAATTCATTAAAATTAATGATTTCATAAAAGTGATTAGTAAACAATATCCACTATCAAATTTCTGCATACACAGAGCAACCAGCTGCAAAACTTGTCAGTTAGGGGCACAAAATGCAGGTTGATTTTTGGTGGGGCTGGTGGGTGTTTTCTGTCCTTAGCACCTGGGGGCTGCAGAGCTGCCGGGGCCGTGGGACTCGGGCAGGGAGCAGGAGAGGCCTGGGGAGAGCCGGGAGGGAGCCGGGGCTGGGGAAGGCTGGGCCGCTCCCCACAGAGCGCCTGGCTCTCCTCTGGGACACTCCATTTCGCGTGGGAGCTTTGGTGTGAAGAATTATTGCTATATTCGTGTTGGTGATACCGTTTTTCATCACCTTTCATCAGAGTGCTGCAATGACCCTCCGATTTCCTTGGCACGTTGCATCTGCCAGCAGTGCCTGCTTCCCTCACTCACACACGGGCACCATTCGGGTCCAGCTTTCCCTGCAGAGCCCACAAGCGGTGCAGTGAGGCTGGCCTGGGGCTGTGGGGCACAGTGCCCGCCAGCCCTGGGCAGCTCCGGGACACAGGCGTGGGGACAGAGCGGTGACACAGGAGGGGACACAGGGGGACAGAGCGGGCCACGGCAGCGGCACCGCGCGTTGAGCGCCAGGCCGGGCGCAGCGGGGCGGGCACTGCCCCCGTGTGGCCGCAGAGCGGCAGCGGCCGCAGCGCCGGCCCCGCCCCGGCACAGTCACACCGAGCGGAGCAGCATCACCGTCCTGCTCGTGCAAAGCTCAGCTAAACAACAAACCCACCCTTTACTGCAGCTCTTTCCTAAAAATAGCTTTTGCACCTATATTTACAAGTGTTTAAGGATTTTCAGTAAGATAAATATTTTTAAATAGCTTACATTGTCATAATTCCTTTTGCAAGCTCAGGTAGGATTTTATTCGCTATACTTACCAGTTTTTTATTTATTTATTATGATTAAAATACTCAGGAAAAAAACCCAGAAAGGTAAACTTACTCCTACTGGATAGGAGTTAGTGTTTTTCTAGACAGAAAATGCATAGAAAGTGGCAGCTGTGGATTCAGCAGTGAAGCTACAGCATTATTCCAGGAGGAGCTGCTCACTAGGGTTAGTAAGGTGGTGTACGAAGAATTTAAAAATAAAATCCCCCCAAAAAACTCCAGGTAGCTATAGCTGCTTTTCAGTGGTTTGCCCTTACAGCATTAGATGTTAATTGGTAAGACACAAGTAGTAATCTTAGACTTGATTTTATACAGTACAACAACACCTAAGTTTCCTAGAAATTTTGAAGGACTAAAAGAAATATGTATTTCTTATGTATTTATGTTTATATAAATATAAACATAAAACTGCCTGTAAGTACACAAAACATGCTGGTTAGTTCACCTTGACTTCATGCTTTTTCATTACACTCCCACATTTCCAAGCCCCAAAGAAATGAATAGAGCCATAAGAATAATATTTTTAATTAATATTAATACAGAAAGAGCACATAGTACATTCCTTTCCAGCAGCAGCTCATTCAGCCCTACCATTTGAAAAAAAAAATAAATTAAGGCTAGTTGAGGGCAACCTGATCCAATGGTTTGTTTCCCTTATGCCTTCTTGGAGACAGCCTTGTAAGCTTAAGAGACTATTTGTGCACAAAACATGGGATGTTTATTTAGCAAAACATCAAGAACAGATAAAAACATGCTTTGTTACAGTGGTAAAAATACACAGAGCTTTCAAGCTGCTTTTTACACCAGCTCAGTTGGGAAACCACACCAGTGTGGTCTGCAGCATGGTGGTGCCTCAGTATTGGATGGAACTGGCAATTGTCAGGGATCATGGTGACCACGCTCAGCTACTCAGTGCACGAGAAAAATAAAGTGCACGAGAAAAATAAGTGCATTGAAATGAACCATTTATAATCAAGAGCAATTCTTGTTACACACAGTACTTGCTTAAAATGGGAATCTCACAGGCTGTTCAGTACAACACAGTAGTACAATTTTCAAGAGCACAGAATCAGTATCACATAGTAGAAAGACCTTTACTGAACACAGATATTTCTGGGTTTTTTCCCTCCAATTACCTCCCCTGCCCAATGAAAAGCCTTCTGATGTAACTTACAGTAGGTTTGGTTGGGGCTTTCTTGAAGGATTTTGTTTGAGTAAATCTGTAAGGCATCACCTTTAGCTAATACCTCCTCTTTACCCTCTATGTTCACAATAAGCAAGGATTTAGTGGCACAGTGATTTGTTCCATTTTGAACCCCAGTTCTAAAAACGTTTAGCAGAGCAGGCAAATTGCATGGGATGGAGGTTTTTTCCCCAGTTACAAAAGTTTATCCTACGAAACTTTACATTTTTACAGGCTGTCAGGAACCATGTTGTCAATGTATTTTCCTACTCACAGGTTAAGGCCATTGTTAGCAGTGCTTATAAGCCAAACCATGAAGAATGATCTAAGTGCTATTAATTTGGGGGAACATTCACTATATTACAAAAAAATAAAATAATTGATTGAGAGGTTTCCAAATGCATTAAACAACATAAATGTTGGGTGCTTAGTCACTGGACTCTTTGGGCATTACAGTTAACAGCAGCAGATGCTTAGAATGCAAGCTTCAAAATAGCTTATTCAAATCCCCTACAAATATATGCTGAAGGCTAAAAAACACTCAGAAAACCCCACCTTTTTTACCCTTGCATATAAGTTATTTTACAAGTTTCCTTTCACAGTGAAATCACTTTTCTGTTTGTATACTTGTTTCTGAGAAAGGAAATAAAATTGGGGTTATTTCTGTAACATTTCATTTACATTGCCAGATCACCTCCAATGCAGTGCAGTACAGAACACAGCAATATATTTTAGATTAAAAGAAGATTCCTTGATTGCCAAAACTATTTTTTTTGCATGCTGTAGAAGATATCTCTGCCCTCTTAAGTGGGCAACAAACTAACCATGTAATCATACAGTGCTTGCAAAACTATTTACCATTTTGCAATAATCTATAGTACAAAAGGCAGGCTACAAAGCACTGCCTGCCCTTCCAAACACAGTATTTGTCACCGAGAAGCGTGCACAGTAAAGAATATTCCCTATGCGTCCCACAGGAAGAGTCCACACTTCTTTTCCTTTTCCATTGAAAGGCCAGGAGTTTGGAGGCAAGAAACCAAGTTCATTTATACCCACGTGTATTGATTCACTTCTGCCAATCGAGTGTATCTCCTGAAAAGCTGGATACTTTCCAGCTGTATGAAAGAGGGGATATTTTGCTACAAGATTATTCACCTAGGAAACTTTAATATGGCTGCCAATTTCAATTCTCTCCTCTGGCCATAGCAGGTCCAAGGCTGTTCTCCAACCTCAAGCAGGAAACGAGGCTGGGGATTGTTGGAAAGATGACACCAGTGGAAGACACATGAAATTAATGCACTAGGAAAGTCAAAAATAAATCTAGGGCTAGGGAAGAGAAAGAATCCAGACATTCAGACTGGTCTCCTGGGTGCAAGTTTGTGCTTGGGCCTGTGTTTGCTCCTTGGTCCAAGGGGTCACTGCTTGGACCTCCTTCCAGGTTAGGACACAAGGGCCTGGTTATAGAATCCATCACCTAAAACCTCACCAAATTTTTTTAGGAGAGAAAGAAGTCAAGAGCTCTGTACTAAAACAAAAGAGAGTTTGGCCAAGGAGCACAGACTGGTTAAATAAGGCAAGGGAACATGAAAGCCAGGAGACTCTTCCAGGCCAAAGCAAGGGTGACACTTCTAACAACCCTGTTGCTCTTGAGAGTGAAGGTGAGAGCACACTTCATGCAAAGGCAAATGGAACAGATCAACCCCCTCAGCAGCCCCTGCTTCTCACAGATTAGTCCTTCAAGCGGTTTTCAAACTTACTACCCTCTATGGTAGAGTGTGTCCCAAAGAAAGATTCTAGGTTTTCCAAGAAAAACAAAGTAACCACACTTTCTACAATAAGGGATCAGTCTCCATTGCCTTTAAAACAGTGGCTTTTTCAATGTGGCTTTTGCTCTGTTAAATTTGTTATCTCTTCCCTTCTATAGACCTGATCCCAAAAAGGAAGTTTCCATATAAAACAGTTTAAGAGTTGAAAATGTACAGTTCATATAGATGCAATTTGTACGACCAGATGTTACTGTATATATATAGTTGCATGTTTGCCAGTAGTGTAGACAGAAGTAGCTAAAAGGCAACTAAAACAACAGTATGTCATTGCAAACAGGAACCAACAGACTTCAAAGTATAATACTTTACATAAACACAGGTTTTGCAGCTTTTCAAGTTAGTTTTCATCAGGTACTTGGTATACAGTAAAACTGTGATCTACCTTTATGTATAGTTTCATCTTTCCAAGCAGAGATTTTTAATATTCTCTTTATAATATTACTAATCCTGAAATGAAGAGTCAGATGTGTAACATTCCCAGGCAGTAGCTTAATGTACTGTAGAAAATTCAGTTCTATTTACCAAGGACTAGAATTCACTTCAGTAACATTCCCTGAGGCAATCCATGATTTTATTGTTTTGTCCTGGAATCATTTGTGTACAGTTGCTGTTCTGTTCCAGACTGCTTTGTTTCTTTAAAAATAGACACTTAGAAAAAGACATCTGTTAATTTTCATTGTTAATTTTATATTTTAGCAATTATGCTTCCCCTTAATGCCTTCTTCTTTTCCTCTCTTTCCCCTCCAAAAATGCAAGTTAACAACACAGCAAGTCTGTGTGCTTGATTTTTGCAAGACAGGGATTCAGATCTTTAAATGAATGTTAATTTTTAGAACTGAAAAGAATGTAGTAGATAAGAACATAATACGCAATGAGCAGTCTAAAATTTACTCAAACTGAAGTTATTCTCTCTTTGAGAGAGAATCTATGGTGCTAAAAAGATCAAGGGTGAGGAGAAAGGGTGGGTGTAGAGAAACAAATGAGAATCATCATCCCTGTCTACAGAAATGCACTGAGCTAGAATACTGTACCCTTACATTTCCAATGGACTAAGGAGATTTCTCCTGATATAATTCCACCTTTAACATTTTAAAAAAGCCTGTGTATCATCAATGCACTTAAAGCTTTTAAGTTTTAGTAACTTAACTTTGTTTATAAAACAAACACACACAAGCACACTTCCTAGAGTGCAAAATGCTTAAATACTTCAGTGACAGAACTCCATATGTAGTTTTTGGAACAGTAAATCCTCTGGATGTCATAGTCAACTTCTTCCATTGCCAGCAACGGTTGCATTGAACTACCCAAAACTGCAGCAAACCCAAGAGTGGGTGACTCTGTACTGTCTCCTCAGTTCTGCAGAGATCCTGGTTCATTTGTATAAACTCATTGTTGGACTTTGATACATGCACATGTAAGCATCACAAAGCAGTCTTCGTGCACAGCCTTGGATTTTCCGGGAATCCAGCGAGTGCAATTCCTCTAGAGACATCTTCAGGTATTCACCAACTTCTGGACATGGGGTAACTTGTGGAATGTTAAAGCCATTCTGACCTCCTTTTAAACCATTAGAAAAGAAGGAGAAACAGATTAGGAGAACAGTTGTTTTACTGACATTTGTATTATTATACAGTAACAATTTTCCACTGATAACTCTAAAGGGATTCAAAGGAATAGCATAGATGTTGTAATGTGTGACTACTTCCTTTATTCTAAAGACAGCTACCATAAGTCATTTAAGAAAAAGTAATTAAAATATTTGTATGCTAACTGATAATCATGTACATCAACTTAAATATAATTGGAAAGTACATTCCTGCAGTTGATTATTTAAAATTGTCTCTGCCTAATTTGCAAAGCATAGAAAAATGTATAGGGAGTCCTAGTAGGAAACTTCTGCAGTTACTTCTGTACCATCTTATTACCAAGGTATCCAACTGAGGTGAAATTCAGAATATTCAAATCAGCAGCCGCCATGAAATCAATGCGCTAAGGTAAGGCTGAGCCAAGATCAGTATCCCAGCATCGAGCACATCAAGTTAAACTACACTAATATCCCCAAAACTTCAGGGAAACAATCCCTGAAATCTAAACCACAGCTACAAAACTGTAAGAGAAGTGAAGGGGTGAAGGAGAGGTTACCATCCCGGTCTGCCATGCTGTCGAAGAAGAGCCAGGCGGAGTCGTCGCGGCCGTACTTGACAAAGGCCACGTAGTGGCTGGTCTCGATGCACAGCACCGCAAACAGCTCCATCTTCTGCGAGGGGATGCAGCCGTGCCGCCAGTCCCAGTCCGGCAGGTCCTTCGGAAGCGACAGCGGGTTGAATTTGTGACTCTGTCTCTTGGGGTGGAGATGAACCTACAGATGAAGTGATATTTCAGAAAAGAAAAAACACCCCGGAAGATTATTTGTTTCAGCGGCAGACAAAGCTAAAAAGGACGTTACTGCTGAACAGAAGATTAATGGTGTTAGAGAAGGAAGTGCAATAACAGCAGCTGACTAAACGTTTCTATTTTTTCCCCACCAGTGTAGTTCAATATTGCCCAGAAAATTCAAATCTAAGGTTAGAAGGGAGGTCAGGTTTAATGCAACAGTTTTCTACTATGCTCAGATTTGAAAACAAGCCGTGATTGACATCTTCACGCAATTGCCAAACAGCAAAACACAGCATTTCTGTCACAAATTTATCAACTCTAACAAGGTAACATGAACATAAAATTAGATTTGAACCACATGGTTAGGTTACTACTTCTCCACTGTTTCCAATCCTGGATTTGGCAGATGCCATGCTGATAAACACATTGCAGGAGACTGATGTGTCACCAAAGGAGACACTTCACTTGGTGGGTGGCAGCTACACTGGTGCTGGTGAAGAAGTCTCACTATGTCTTCTGCCTTTCTTTCAATTACCACAGCATTAACCACTTGGGTAAAACCCATGTGAATGCCAAAGACAAGCACTGACCTGTGTATTGCATGTTTTGCAGAACTGCTTGATTTTGCCAGCAGAAATATCAGTGTCTTCATAACACTCCCTGCACTCGTACATAGCGAGCCCTCTGCAGATACGGCACTGCCTGGGAGCTGCAGAGGCAACAAAGCTGTTAGTCTCCAGGCTGGGGAGGCTTTCCTTGTTAACAAAAGGAATATGAAAGTGAAGGGCAGCTATTACTTTACATGGAGAATGAACACTACATAAAAAAATAGTTAAAATGAGATTGCTAATCAAAGAGAAATGTACCAGTCTATTTAACTTCTGTTTGGTGCAGTGTGGATTAAGAGAAAAACATTTACACTGGCAAGTGAAAAAACAAGATGATAAAAATCTAGTGCATGAACAAGCAAAAACAGGCTTATAAATCATGTTAGCTTTCTCTCATCATAGTGGTCTTAGCTCCTACAGCTGTCAATAACCAGGAAAAAAAAACAAACAAGAAAAAAACATAAGCTGATGGCCAAGACAGTGAGAGAAAAGGCCGTGGCAACTTCAGAGATTATTATTCTAAGGAATTTTGGCAGTTTTATTAATTCTTAAATTTAAAACCAGCTGTCCTTCCTTAGTACAATGTGATGAAAAATTCAGTGGATGATCAATGGCAGAAAATTAGGTCACAAAAAGAAGTGACATAATTATGGCTAAAAAATGCACAGCCACAATATACTACAGGTGCACATCCTCATCTCAGGCTCCCTTCCAGCCTAATGAACTAGTGAACAGCTTTGCTGCTAATAACTCAATTTTAAAAACAGTCCTGAAATAAGTTCAGTTATACAGGTACTCAAATAAACAAAAAAAGAAGTTGTATTCTATATATTCTTCTGAATTAGAGCTTCTAATTTACATGAGGGGAAAAAAGCCTTCTACCCAGTAAAATTTCATTTCTCTTCAGCCCGAACATCTCACACTATCTTGGTAAATATTCAACAGAAAAATCCCCAACAGGCCACCAGAAGTATCAGGAATACTTTAACTGTCTTAGTCTCAGCAACTGTCTTTCATTATATAATGCTATGTTATATACTTACTGTCTTCAAGTAAGTCTGTTATATTCAATTCCAAGGATGGAAAAATTTTATTGAACATTTTGAAGTCTTTTCCAAACCGGGGCATCTGGATAATCAGGCAAGAGGGTGCCTAGGTAAAATGCCAGAATACAATGTAATGAACTTGACATAAATAATTATCTAATTTTGCAGACATTCTTCTAATGCCATAAATATACACATCTTTTTTTTAATTCACAGCCTACAAAAGTATCTCAAAGTATTAGTCCTTAAAACAACTCAATGGCAGCAGCTAAGAAGTTTTCTTCTAGTAATTCTTTACCTAAAGTACTTTGTTTTGTTCAACCAAAGAATACATCTCATTAAGTGAACCTTAAAATGCCTTTGCTATGTAGGCATCTGGATCACTGACACAATATTCCCACTCCCAACATGTCTGCATGTTTTTGCACCAAATCCTATTTTCTCCCATTGCTGAATGGACAGATATTTAGGTATGATCACTTCTAACAAGGCAACTGCTGTCACCAACCTCTGCAAACTTCAAGTTGCTGTTGATGAATGACCACTCCAGTAACTGCTGAATTGTTGGGACTCCAACTTTCTCATTTTTGTCCATAAAAATTTGATAGAAGTAACAGTCTTGTACTTTCTGACCAGCTGATCTAAAAACAGTTTCAAAGGAAAAAAAAACCCAAAAAACAGATTCTGAAGCTCTACTGTAATGATGACTCTATCTTCTAGGAAAATAACATCTACATGAAAATAGTGACAAGACATCCTCCCTGCACTGAAATATATTGTGCTTTAAAAAACCCCAAACAAACAACAAAGCCTGACAAAGCCCAGCCCCCTACCCCCAGTAACAAAGTGCCAGGCAGTCAAGTATTAAGTCTGAATTGATTATGGAAAAATTCAAAGAAACAAAACCAATGCAAATTTCAGAGCATGTTTTAAAAACATATGTCTATGCATGGCTGAACTACCAACTACGCATCTGCATCAAAAACTCCAAGACAATAAAGCAGCTTTCATTGGAGAGACAATTAGGAGTTTCAGTAATAAAATATCAAATGAAACAACACTAATTATCTTCAGTATGATGGGTTTAATGAAACATTTCCTCTAAATCAGGGTGATATTTACACTGCTTCCTGCAGTGGAAGTCTCACACAGATGGCTAATGCTGCTAGACTTGCTCTATAGTTAGCAGAGAACTCTCCACAAGGATAATCCAAATTCAAGGCTGTCCAGCTGTAATTGTTAAGACTCCTTCCACACTCAGGCCAGCTCTGAGGCAGATTACCACACAAACTGCCAATGCAAGCCATAGGAAGTAGTCTGGAGAAACTTCTTTATCCTCACCATAAGGGGGAAAACCCTTTCCATTGAACACACACATCCCTACCACAAAGCAATTATCCTCTTAAAAAAAAAAAAGAACCACAAAACCACAACACATTTTGCATAGCTAGGGAGAGGGACACAGGATTAAGCTACCAAATTAAGTATGTTTTGAGGTCAGATGTTCAAAATGTAGAAGTATCAAATATCAGTGCTCTCAGATCATGTTTCTGTTAAATAAACATAACTCTGATATATTTGGGAGGAGATCTTCAGATAAGCAATCCAACCTCCTCTGGAAGTACAAAAGAAAGGATATAAAAGATGATGCTCAGGTTGAAGAAATGTTTTTTTCTACTATAGAGAAAAAACATACAGGACTAACTAGCCTCTAATAGCAAAAGAAAACCATTGGGTTGGAGCTGGTTCATCTCAGCATCAAAAATTCCTGGGAACTTTGATCAAATTTGCTCTAAACTGTAACCTCCTCCAATCCAGCCAGCATTTAAGCCAAAGTTGCTTTTCAGAGTATTCAGGTGTTGAGAGGGTTCTAAAAGCATGATGCTCAGTGTTACCACTACTAAGAAAGAAAGAAAGGAGATTTCTGCATTGCCCTTGAGGAGTTCAGGTATGTGCACACTACACACCAACTCTGCGGCTAAAGCTGAATGGTGGAACATGAGTGATGTTCTGTGTATGGCATAGACACAACAAAGCCCTAGAAGGCCAAAGAAATAAGATTCACCTTATTTTCAACAGTGGCTCAACTCTCAGAATATGGTGAAATAAAATATTCAAAAATTCTTCCGGATCTGGAGGCAGGAGAGAAAAAAAGTTTTGTCAGCATCCAAAACCAGATACATTATTCAAGACTCATTGAAACTGAAGGTTTTTAAAATTTTCATAGGAAAAAAGTAAGAGTTAATTTTTACAGCTTTATTATTACCCCAATAAGATTATGACAAACTAGGAATATTTTCATGACAAACCTCTATTTATTCTTTTAGTGTTAAAAGTCCCTAATAAAAGGCACAGGCTCAACAGGGTAACAAAGCTTTCCAGTCAAGTTAAAAAAGATGCTCTGTATTTCAGAGGAATCATTTAGCACCACACATCTTTTCCAGGAGAAATAAAAGCTTTCAAAAGGAAACAGTGAATCTGCAGAGAGCCAGTGAGGAGCAGTGACAGTAACACAAAAGCTACACCATAGCCCCAAGTTCAACTAAACGAGAGACCAAGTTCTCTAACCAAGAATGCAGCACTTCCCAGAGGGCTGCTCTCCCCCACCACAGTTTGCTGGTCTGTTTTTCTCCCTGCCACTAGCTGCAGTTAATACTGGTTCCAGCACTCAGTATTTACAAAGAAAGTAGGATTCTCTTGAATAAAAGCAAAACAGTTACATAATACAATGCTAATTAATCAATATATTATGCAGAAGATCAAGAAGTTGGGAACTGATTTTTCTAACATGATTTGAACATTTTATTCCTTAAAATACTACACAACCATTGTAACAATGAAACGTTGAAGTGCAAAATTTATTCCTCATGGATCAAAGTGACAATGTGAAAGAGAACAAACATCCCAGCCTTATCAGTCTTCTCCACTAACTGCTAGAAGGGAGCTCCAGGGGGGCAGGGGAGGCACTAAAAGAAATTCAGGCAGTGGAAGACTCCAGAAATTGTTCAGCTGGGGTTCCTTACATAGTTGAGGAAACAGAAAAGACCTTACTAGCAGCCAATGGTCACTCAGATCTCTGCTCAAGACACTACTGCCACAGAAAAATATCCGGGTGCTTTGTTCTGGTTTAATTATGTAGCAAGGTTCCTCAGTCCCTTCATATTAGATGAAAAAGAAAAGCAAACCTCCCCCATTACCTTTTTCCTCTGAAGTGAATCCTGATGCAGCCTCAACTTTTTCAAGTATTTTCCTCAGTTTCATTATTTTTGTAGCACATACATATCCGTATCTAAGACAAATGGGTTTAATAAGCTATTAGCCAGTTTTTGATCAAGTTAGAACAGTAAAAGAAAAGCCAAAACCAATCACTTAAAAACTGAAATACAGGTTCTCAAATCCTTATTGAACTGCATACAGTATTTCTTCAAAACTACATGCTGATTTCTTATATTTAATCAGAGTCCTGGTTTTCTTAATGTAGTATAAATTTACTGCAGTACTCAATGTTCTTTTACAACTTCAAGAGCATTTTAATCATCAACTTACCAGGATAACTATTTTCAGATTTGTCAGTTAATTACTTTTGATTAGTTTTCCCTCTAATTTGCACAGCTTAATACATCATTTCAGAATGTCACATAACAGCACTGAGGGACTTGTTAACAAAAAAAACTTTCAATATTTGAGAAAGACACAGAGCTGTACTGCTGACCTAAGCAGCTCAGGCTTTGAGCATGCAGTCTTTTCCCCTAAAGTTTTTCAGCATGATCAAAGGACAGTAAGGCATTCAGCCACCTCAGGCACCTGGGATTTCTGCTACTCAGTGTGCAGCCTGCTATCCTGCCTGTTCCACAGACCCTGGAACACAGCAGACCAAGCACACACTCCCTGACAAGAGCAAGGCTTCAGAGGCCAACATTTTTGTTTATCAAAATAAAAACTTAGTCAGAAATTGTTCAGTGACAGCCCACAGGATTTTGGAACTACAACTGCATTATTCACTTGTTTGAAAAAAAAATGAGCTTAAGAACAACAACTTTTCATGGAGATTTTTGTTGCACCTCCTTTGCTCATTGTGCCTGAGAAATGACAAAGGTCATATTAAGTTATTTTAATAAAAGTATTTTGGCCATTTGCAGACCACATGTAAAAAGCAATGAAACTTTTAAAGCCCTGCTAAATCTATCATATTGTGAAACTCCATATAAGATAATACAAATAATTATCTTTTCAAGTACAATAGCACTAAAACATGTAAAGATGAATGCTGTAAACAAACATAACTTGTATTTATCAATACTTCTGTATTATTGTACAATACTTGTACAAATTTTACAATAGCTTTGTGCTGATCCATTTGCAAGTAAGAAACTAGTGAAAATATTTCTCACCAAAAAATGGATAACTCTTTCCAGTTATCACTGATTAAATTTGCTATGAAGAAAAAGTAAAAATACTTTAAAAATTACATTGAGTAGCAACAGATAGCCAAACTTCTCAGATTTGCATTAGGAATGTAAACACTGCAGGATTTCTCTAATTCATGTTAGACTAGAGACCAGTTCTTCACTTACATTCTCAGAGGATTCACAATCTCTGTCCTCAGCAGCTCCTGAGTCTCACTATAATACTCTACATCATTAATTTCTTTAGGTCTGAGTAGCACAGTGTCCAAAACAGAGCTAAAAGAAAACAGGCTACAAAGAAAAAGAGAAGAAGGTTTGTTTTGACCATTCAGATGCCTGAGCAACATAAGACAATTCAAGCAAAGCCACAGAAGAATTAAAGAACTAAACAAACTGAAAAAGAGGCAGTTATGGACAGGGGACACAGCTGCACTAAACAGCAAAGTCCACTCCAACCCAATATTCCTTCTGCAGCAAAGTACAGAACCAGTCACCCAGGCAGGACTCTGCAAAGAGCTCTAAGAGGCATTTCCCTCCCTCCATCCCTGTGCTCTCCTGATCCTTCAACCATCTCCAGGCCAGGGACTCCCTCTGTCCAAACAAGCAGATCCACAAGGGTCAGTGCAGTGTGGGCACGAGCAGCACTGCACTGCTGGCACTGGAGAGCACAGGGACTGCAGCACAGCACACTGGGAGCTGCACAGGAACTCAGACAGTTACTCAAGCAAACATCACATGTTCTGCATTTCTAGCAAGGGATGCCACTATACAAATGATGAACTTACCAGAATAAGGTGGAGTCTAGGTAACAGGAGTTGTAATGACCCTGGATACCTTTCTTCTTTCCAATCATTGTCTCTAAACCTTCTTTTTCCATTTTTGGAGGAGTGTTTTCTTCTACCACTTCACTTAAGTAACCTCCAAAGGCTGAAATTTTTTTTAAAAGTCACTTTAAAGCCTCAAATTTTATCCCCCTTGAGATTTTCCTAGTAATATTTTATAGCTAAGTTGCTGCCTTAGTGTAAGCATTCCTTCTCTGGACCTGAATAGCATTTTATCATAGCTGAGACTCACTGTCTTCCAGAGAGTGAACAAGGCCTTACATTCCACACCAAAGTGCTTCAGAAAGCCTGCAGCACTGAATTAATTTTATCCAGTAGGAATGAAGTTCTCTTTTCATTACAAATGCCTTTTTCACACTATCTTACAAGTATCAGACAATTTTCTCTGCTGTTGTCCCAGACAATACAACGTGACCCAAGAAATGTAAAATACTTGAAGTTAGGGAAAAAAAGTTTTTCACCACTAACCTCCATCATAAAAATACATGCTTTTCTTTGTTAACATTTAGAGACTAAAGTAATTTGATGTTATAGATTATAGAAAAATAACTGCCTTTATTTCTTTTAATGTAATCATACAGTGCTAGAGTTACAAATACCATTTTCAGCAAGATTGTTCATATATTTAAAGAAATGCCATAAAATTATGGAAATTTTTTATGCCATACCCTTTTTACATTAGAAGTTGTAAAACATTGTCTTGTTTTAAAGCATAAAGGAATCATTCAAGAATCACTGTATTCTGTACAGGCTGATCTGCTATTTAGTAATCTCAATTAAGTAATACCTGTACAGATTTCCAAGTGCTCAATAAAAGAACTTATTGCAGGAATGAATGAAAGCAAAGCCCTGGCCAGTTCCCAGGTGATAAACAACAAACAAGCAGAAGCTCAGTACCTAGAGAGTTGCAGCGCTCGATCTGGTTGGAAACAGGCTGGAGTGAGGCAAACCTGGAGTCTGGCCTGCAGCTTTTGAGTTTTACAAAAAGAGCTTTCTTTGGAGCACACGTGAAGTAGCGAGTTCCTTTAAATGTCCCGTCCGTGCAGCCTGCACATTCATCTTCCTGAAAATCCAAGTGAGAAGGATTCAGTGTTTTTATTTCTACAATTCTGCAGTAAGACATTTGACAAAGTATCTACCCACAAGACACCCTTCTGCTACTCTGAAGCGTGATACACACTGTTTCTGCAATTTACTATCCAAAGCCTCAACTGAGGTGTTGTTTGACTGGATTTATTGAGAAAATTAAGCCTTGCATGCTTCTTTCTTTCTTCGTGCTTAAACTTTCACTACATCCAAAACAAAACAAAAAATCCACCAGAAGCAGCATGGAGGAGGTAGGAGGAGAGACTGTGAATTCAACCTGGTCCAGATTCCTTCTGTAGTTAGAAAGAGCACTTTTTACCAATTAATTGAAATCACTGAGCATGGGATGGTGTGAACAATTTCAGCGTGATTTGGCTGCACAAGAAAAATGCCTGCTTCAGAAAGGTACAAAATGTACATCAAAGAGAGAACACAAACTAGGAGTAAACAACAACAAGCTGTTACCTTTGGGAACAGGATTTAAGGTACATTGCCTGCTTACTAACAACAACTAGGCTTTAATGCAGAAATGCAGGAGTGGCACCCAGGTTAATGCACGACACCCTAAGGAGCAGGCTCAGAATGCCTGTGGCAAGATATGGCTTCAACTTCACCCCAAAGATCCACAAGGATCAGGACTTCTTTGTAACAGCTGGAATTCCAGTCACATTCTCACATACCTTGCTTATGTTTTACATGATTTTACACTGCTTTATGTAATATGTTATTGAACATTATCCCAAAATAAAGACACCCCCCCCCCCCAATCTCCCTAACTGTGTACACATTAATTTTACCAATACCCCATCACAACCTTGGCAGCTGCTGCCAGGGAGGGAATGTCAGTACACAACAGCAATTCATGTTTGAGGCAACTGTGGGGTTTTTTAACAAAGGGCCCACAGAAACACATAAAGCACATGGCTGTCAAATCCACAATATCACTACTGTCAATTATCAAAACCAGCCTTACAGCTCTGACAATCATCACTCTGCCTGCTTGCTGATATGCAAACAACAAACAAAAAATCACATTCAACAAAGACTACTACAGCTAGAGAATTTTATATAAATTTCCACTTAAAGGACCTTTAAATTTCATTTTTCAATTACAATCTCCATAATGTAAGCAAAGGACACTCCTCTAAAGCAAGGAATTGATCAGCCTTGCAAAATCCTTTGCCCACTGTGATACAAACACATTTCAGATCCTACTAACAGGGTAAGGTGTGGGGCAGCCATGAAAGTCAGAGCTTAGCACTAAACAAATCACTTGGCAACCTGTCTGGGCAAATCCCCCAGACTGGCTGCTTTTGCAGAGTGTAAAGGCACCAGCTCTGAGAAACAAAACTAGTAATTAGCATTAATGTGAACTAGAATTTCTATTTACCAGTTCCAGTCCTGCTAACACTTCATTTACTCCAGGGGGCTGGCCAATCCAGCGGATTACTCCATAGAAAGGAGGATTTTCTTTAACTTCAGCCAAGGAACCTGCTTCAAGACCGTGTGAGTTTCCAACTGGGCTTGCTGCTGATGGACTCTCCTGGGTAGCTGTAGTATTCACATCACCCATGACAGACTGAACAGATAAAGAGAGAGGACTATGTCCCATAGTACCATTAGTACTTGTTGTTTTTGTCAAGCTAAAGGGGAGGGAGTGAAATCTGTTTTCTGTAGACACAGAGTTTGTTAAAGGTGGCTGCAGTGGTGGTGAAGAATGCCCAAATCCAGAAGATGAATCAGTAAGTGACTTTGAAGGGTCTTCAGCAGCTGTTAAAATCAAAACCAACATGTTAGTAAGTGTTGGGTTTTTTTCTCCTTCTATTAAAAAAGGAAAGACTTGGCTCTCAAACCAGCAACATCTGATGTAACAGGTGGAAGCACTAACAGCTGGGGACATTTCATTTAGGAAGACTTTTGTCACTTGGCAACACTGGAGACACAGAACTGACTGAGCAGACACTGCTGCAGTCTCACCGCTTTTACCACAAGCAACAGAAATGAACAGCACAGAGAAAGGAGATGTTAGAAACTACAGAAAGGTTCGGATTGGTATCTTTTTTTTCATCATCACATGAGACTTTTTCTTTGAACATGAGTTAACAGCCCCAAGGATTATGACTGTAGGGGGCAAAACCAGAAAGAGCTCACTGGTCATTGTGACTGAGGAAATTATTTGGTTCACAGCTTGTATATATATAAATAATTGCTTGCAGATATGATTTGCAAATGGAAAAGTGCTTATTCCACTGACTTTATCACAACATACTTTGGTTCTAAAACAGGGAATCTATCAGTGTCTACAAAGAATAAAAGACTTAAACATGTCATGAGCAATGCAGTGCCTGACAAGAGACATCACAACTACATGGAACAGCACTCTGTGTCTTCTCCCATCTCTCTACACAGACACAGAATACCCTGAATTGGAAGGGTCTCTAATACACAATTGGTATTTACAGAACAAAAGCCTGTTCATCTTCACCCATTCTCCCCATGCTGTTTCATTAAATGAAGTTAATGTCTTAAAAACATTAAAAAGACATCTGTTACAGGACCAAGAACAATTTTAACCCTTTTTCTTTTGTGCTTCAAAGAATTCAGATGCTACTGCTTCTACAGGTTTCTGGTGTAACTTAACAGTTACATTAGTTAGTATTTACTCCTTCAGTCATTAAGCCAGTTAGCCACATTTTTCTAAAGTTTACCAGGAAAAAAGAAAAATTGGTCTGCAAGCAAATCAGGATCTATAGATCCTTCAAGTATGTGCACTCATGCTTTCAAAAACAAAAAGAGAGATTTTGCAGACATGAATTTTTAAAAATACAGAAAAAACCCACATATACTTCAATACTTTCCCTGCTCTCACTTCCAGACTGATTAGCTGGCAGTTCCCTTGGACCTGTAACACAGCTACAAAGACAGGCAAAATACAATTACTGTGTACACTCAGCTACAAGGAATACTTCTTGTCTTCCATCCCAGCCTCAGCTTTTATTTTGCCTGTGAGACACGTGCATTCCCACAGAGCTGCATGTGAATTGCCAAGAACAATCTCCCACAGGCAGAATAAAACCACAGGCCACACCAAGACAGAGAACATTTTCACAGGGGTTTCAAGATGCTTTTTGTGATGTAGTATGTATGCCACTATGACAACACAATTGTTTTCCATTTAATCTCATCCTTGTTTTATTTGAAGAAGATAATACACTCTAGTTTTGTTTTCTGGGTTTTTAAAATGAGTATATAAAAAATTATCCTCTCTTTACCTTCATCCATATACCATGGGGACTTTGTTTTAGTTTGAGGCTGAGAGTCAACTGATGAGCCATTTAATGTGTAGAAGACTTCAGATCTGCTTCTATTTCCAGGTTCAGAGGTAGATCCTGGAAAACAACATACTTTATTGAAGAGATTAATCTCTATTTACAAAAGGTCACCTATACTCTTATTTCCTAGTATAAATTTGTTACTACACTCTCAAGAAGACACAACTGCCTTTCCACAAAGGAGCAAACACAGGCTAACACAGTTCTAAATTTAGAACAAGGCAGAAGTCTACACCCAAACAACACACACACTCTGAGCTGAAATCTCAGTCACCAAGGTGAAAAGAAGGCAGCAAACTCCTCTCAAGAAAATATTTTTCATGACTATAAATTATGAATATATGAAGGTATTTACAATACAGCTGGTTTTAAAGCACCAAAATTTCACAGTAGGCAAATAAATTACTGAGGATCATCTGTGCCAGCATCCAATGCCAGGTAAAATGACAACTTACAGAATATACTGTCATTAGTATTTTACTACCCAATGTAGACACTAGTAAAATCAAGAGACACTGAATTTTGATTTTTGCCTTAAAATAAAAAAAAATTTAAAAACTGCTTCTCTTTCAGTTTGTTTGTTTGTTTTCCCCAGGACGGTTTTCAGACTTGAACAATAAACAGAGTCAAGGAAGTTTATATTTTGTGAATTCAATTCTGGTTTTGAATCACAGCAAAATTAATACAGTCATTATTAAGGAGATCTGCTCCTGAGCTAAAAATTTTGAAGTTACTAGTTCTGCAAGAAGAAAACAGCAAACTGTATTTATAAATACCAAAACAAAACAATAAATACACACTACACTTCCAAAGAAACAGAATGCAGGCCTGACCTGGTAATACTAGACAACTGGGTTATATGGTCAAGAATTTTTGCTAAACCTCAAGTTCTTTTTCATGAAAATGAAGGCAATTTGAGCAATCTTAACTCAAATTGTATATCACCTCCATAATGATTAAATTCATACTAATACTCCAGAGAAATTTAACTTTTAAGTACAGTTGGACTTGATCTCAAAGGTCTCTGCCAACCTTGGTGATTCTGTGATGATTCTTGACACAACTGAAATAATACATCAACTGATAGAAAAGACAATACTTTCTTGTAAGCAACAAAATTTTGTAATCTTACAAAAGTAAAAAAAACATTTCCCATACATACCTATAGCCTTTGGCTTACTATGATTGAACAAGCCTTTGTCTCCACTTCTTGAGGTATAAGCAAGCTTGGGAGGTCTCCTGTCCTGTGACACAGTCTCTAAGACATGGCACATGAAGAGAGTATTAGCTTCCCTTTGCTATGCTTTCACTGTGTTACACAAAGCTCACCTCAAAACGGAACAAAGCTCTGCTATCACAAGCTTTAACACTGAGCAGAACAAAGCCTTGTTTGGCACAAGAACAACATTTTGTGTGTATACAATCTGCTTTTATCACATCAGCAACTGCTTGCTGCAAAGTCTACCATTACTTCTTGAACACATCAAATAGGTTGACTTCACATGCTTTAATGTAGGTGTGTATTTCCATTAGGGGAAACAGATACAAGAAATTTTAAGTTCTTTTCTACAAACACATCTACAATAATTGCTGTTTTCAAAAAATGGAGAAGTCCCTGTGAATTTTCCAGAGAAGAACAGAAAATGTGCGCAAAAGCAAACATATCAACTAAACCAGCAAGCAGGAGGCAGACCTAAGAAAAGTGAGTCAAATTGAAGTGTGAGAGCAACAATTCCAGACTACAGACTCATTAGAACCTGCCTAGAGACAGTGCCCCAACAAAAGTCTCATACAAACTTTTCTTTCTTCAGAAAAGGAATCAGGAACTGTAGCTGTTACAAGTTAACACTATTCAGTGAATCACTGCAGTGAATTTTTTCCACAATCTTGACAGGCATTTCCAAGCATTTATTCCCAGAATGCATACATAATCCTGTCAACACCTTCCAAGCACAGAAAGAACAACTTTCTGATCAAGATATTTGAAACCCTGGAGTAAATTGAACAACAGTCCATAGAAAAGATTCCCACTACAGACACTCACATATTCAAGAAGATTACACACTGCATAGTATTGTAAATACTATACAATTTGACAGGAATTTTGTTCAGTATTAAAGCTTTTCTACTAGTGAGACTGTAACCCAAAGAAGGGCAATACTGGAGAGAAATATAACAGAAGGTAATTAAAGTGAACTTAGGAAATGAATTCTGCAGCATTGTTTTAATCATATAACCGTGCCTAGGTGGAGGATGTTATCCTAGATGTTATCAAAGTCTGCCTTCTGGTTAAGAAAGCAGGGCATACCTGGAATAACATCATTGATATGCAAAAGAAGTGTACTTTCAACACTTGCAAAACTGCACAGCTGTATTCCATTATATCTTCCATCCCAGTTTCCAATCGGATTATCCTAAAAATAGAAAAACACATTACATGTATCCCAAAAGAAGATTTACATCATACTGAGAACACACAGAATTAAAACATTTAACAATATCTACTTTTTCCTGCAACTAATTTTGTATTTAGAACAGCCAAACATTACAGTCTTTAAAGGCAAACACTTAAAACATTATCTCTTGAGAAAGAGCTCCTACTTTAACAAGCATTTTTCTTCTAAAAAACATTATTGATAAACAGGCTAGAGCAATTCCAGTGCATTTTTAGGAAACAGGTAATGCAACCAAGAAAATGGAAGCATCTAAGCTACAAAACCAGATCAATCTTGAAATACCAAAACTTTAAAAGCTGTTCGTTTTAAGAAGTTCATGTTGCTAGAAATAATTTTTAATTACAAGCTTCGCATTTTCTTGAAAGATCACTTTTGTCCTTGCAAGTCACACTTATAAGGTAGAACTAAATCAAGCAAAACAGCTACATGAAAAAAAGCTTTTAAAAATGGCTAACAAAAGAAAAGACATCCAGCCTACTTTTTTAACAGGCAGAACAAAGCCAGTCTCACAAGACACACACTTGACTTCATGACTGACACCTAGCATGGCAAGTAGCTCAGTGGAGGCTCCTCAGAGTATGCAGAGTATTTTGCCTGAACTGCTCAGCATCAAATACAACACCATTTACCTGATGCCAAGAAAATTACCACCAAATGCATCTTTGAACACAGTGTTTCTTTCCCATTTTAGGTCAGCCTCCGCTGAAGTAGCTTGTGGGTAATGTTTCTTCTTCTACGTGCATGTCATTCACTAGCTAACACACATGCAGAAGTTATTAAAGTCAGATTATTTTCTTACCATGTCCACTCCAACAACGTATCCTAAACTTTCGTTTCCTGGTAAGACATCACAGAATATAACTGTGCCATACTCTATACTCTCTCCTATCTTCAGAGAAACCCTGGAGTTGATCTCCAGAGGAGGAAGTTCTACCTGCATTGTGTCAACTGGAGCTGCATAGTCACTTTCCAGTTCATTGTCATCATCTTCCACCAGCTCCAGTTTGTCCAAAGCAACAAAAACCCCACAATCCTCATCACATCTGAAAAGCTGCTTGCCTTGGTACTGTCCATCAGTAAAGCCCTGACCACGACCTTCTTCCTAAGGGTCAGAGAAGGAAGAAAATGAAGGAAAAAAAGAGATAAAAAACCCAATAATTTATTTTGTGAAAAACAGACTACTAATAAAGCAGTAACACAATCCAGTGTTCTGAATAAATGGCACTAAGAATTTGCCTGATGCACTATCATTATGGAGAGAATTGAATCTGTGGCAAATATACAAACTGTCTTTCTTCAGGGAATAAAGAGCAAGATGTCACTAGATTAGAGAGTGGCTGCAGGCAGAAGCCTTTAAACTCAGAGAAGCTTGTTTTCTTCAGGTGCAAATCTTGCTTCAATCGTCAAATTCTTGCCATATCAAGACAAGACTACTTCATACTAGACATAATGCTAAGCATTCAAATATTCCACTTAAATGCCATATAAAGTGAGATGATTTTCAGAAACACTTGGGCCTGATATTCCCTGAGGTTCTTTCTCAGGGGGAATTACAAAGAGTTCAGGAAAAGTTTAAAGAGTACTTTGAAAATTATACTTCTACAACAAGAGAAGAACTCTCCTCAACCTAATTCTTCAATAGCTTATGGTTGGCATTAATTTTGCAGAAATATCTCACAAGGAGCACAGAACAGATACATTCTCTATTTTAACTAGTTGCCATTGGACTTTTAGAGATCTACTAAAACAGCAGCCCTAAAGTCCAACCCTGCATTTACTGACTGTATCCTGACACAGGCAAACAAAGCACTCCACAGAAATCTGAGAGCCAGATACCCACCATGAGACGGCTGTACATATTTTTGCCCAGAGAAGTTGTGAATGCTCCATCCATGGCAGTGTTCCAGGCCAGGATGGATGGAGCTCTGGGGAACCTGGTCTGGTGGAAGGGGTCCCTGACCTAACAAGGGGTTTGGGACCGGATGATATTTAAGGTCTCTTCCAAGCTAAACCATTCCACAACTCTATGAATTAAATTTTTCTGGGCTAAAGGACTCAGAGTATGTCCAAGTCTTTCTGCCAGCCCCTGCACCACATCAAGCTTGACTTAACATGGAAATTACAAGGCTGATGTGATATGGCACGTTCACATAAAAGTACTTATGAGAAGACTAAAAGTAATGGATTTTAGGGGTAATATGCTTCTAGGAAAAAAAATTATTAGGACTTTCTCTTTTTAGTGAAGACACATGTTAGCTCACCTCATAAAGTGTATCTGATACCACCCCTTAGCAAGTCACTTACCAGCAACTCTACTCCAAAGTATATCCCTGTGAGAGACCTTTCTTGCATTAAGGGTCCCCTGAAGCGAACGACTCCAGGATATTTCTCATCCCCTGACCTCAGCTGCACTCTGACAGGAGAGCCAATATCTATCTGCACTCCTTTAGCTAACCTGCTTTTGCTCTTAAACAAACTGTATCTTTCCTCACAGTTAGTAATAGCCAGAAGCAACTCAGCTAGTTTTTCATTTATTTCTATAACATCCTTCTCATCCACAAACAAGATTGCATGAGGCTGTTCCAGAATCTTTAATCCAATCTGCAGCTTCTTGCCTTTACATGGAATATTTCTGGAGTGTGCCACAGAAGAACGGTCTTGAAAAAACTGCCCAATGCTACCTTTGGGCACTTTCAAGAGCTTTTGAGTCTGCTTGTCTATGACACTGCATTCCTGGAGAAGCAAGTAAAAGATCCTCTCTTCCCAATAGGATGAACTTGCTTTTTCTTGACTCCATAAGCCTGAATTCATTGTGATTAGAACTTTAAAAGCTGGACAGAAGTCTTCAAGAAAAATAAGCTCTTGGTTTATGTGCAGTGATCTTTTCAAATTCTACTGGAGGGTCCAATCTCTTTGAAACAATGCAATATTCATTTTGCAAAGAAACACAATCAGAGCAGGAAGCCTAGAATAAAAAAGAAAAGAAAAAAGAGACAAAATTGAATTGGGTAAGCACAGCTAGCCTTAAGTAAAACATAAAACAATTTAAATCTGTGACCAACTCATTCCTCATACAGATCAGAGTTCAGCAAAATGCATGGCAGTGACCACAGTCCCAGAACAGCCACTGTGCTGCTGATCATGGACAGACCATTTATCCATTTCTGCTCCTTATTGCAGTGTATTTCATGTCCTTCTTTAGTTCCTTGGAAAAAAGGGTTGTGGAAAACATGTAATGAAATGCAGAAAAAAAAAAGAAAATACACATAAGTGAAAGCAAAAAGAAAACTTAAGTGCAAATGAACATAAATAAACAACCTGCTCTATTTACAAACAGCATTTTAATGAAACTTTCCACTATAAAGCTGTTTTCCCATGCTTAGTGACTACTTATTTCTGACAAAGTGTACTGCATCTGTCATCCTGCATAACATTTTGATTTAGTGAAGCAGAAAATTGTGTTGACAAAATAGAGCAGCACAAAATGGGGACTTTAGTAACTTATAACAGCCATTTCTTTAATAGAAATGGACAGTTCCAGTAATATGCAATATATGAAAACCAAATTGTGTCAGCATTGCAACATGCAATTCTCAGAAAAAAAATTGAGGCTCTTATTTTTATCCTTCTAGAAAGATAATTCACTACAACAAAGTAAGAAATACTTTCAGTTATTAAAATAGCATGGAGCAAGCATCTTATAAAATATCATCTTTAGAAAACTACAGTTCACAACTAATAAAATGGAAAAGAACAACTTGAAAATACTTCTTTGAGCATGTGTGTCAATAGTTTTGATCACAGTGGATACATGATGAAAGATGTGCAGGATCTTAGCAGAATCTGTTCTTCTAAAGATGACAGCAAAGGGCAGTGGACAAGTTCAGAATATATTGTCATGTAAATGCTCCTGTTCCCAGTCTGTGATGCCACAGTTTAATTCAGTTAAAGGACAATCTCAATGACTGTTTATATCTAAAGACAAATAATCTTTGTCCTTGTGCCTAGGTACCCTATTTCTCCACAACTTCTCTCTGATGGCATTCATATAGCACAAAATCTATTTCTCCTACCCTGTTTGAAACCAGTCTCAGAAGCCATTGGAAAGCAATAAAACCCAGCAGGCCTGTGATTATTTCCCTCATCTTTTTAAACAGAGTATTGAACAAAACTCAAAGAAAAGCAGCAGCTGGAGACAACCTGGAACGTGGGCAAAGCCTCCTCTTTCAGCCCCTCGGACCTCACACAGTGCTGTGCTGCCCGGTGAGGCTCCTGTACCCAGCACAGAGGTGACACGTGGGTGGCAGTGCCACCTCCCCACTGCTGCTGCTGCAGCTCCCAGGAGTTCCCATGTGCCAACACCCGAGGGGCAGGAGCCAGGCACCTCCAGACCTCACTGAGGGACAGGCTGGTACACCATCCATGTGTTCCCAAGCTAAAAGTATTTTTCCTCACTTGCCTTTGACACACATAAATGGGCTTTTAGGTTTGTTAATGACTAACAAAAAAGTGGTGTGAGCATGGGATTGAAACAGTTTATGTGGAAACTGATGAAGAACACAGAAAGATTCCCCCCTCCTGCCCCACATGGAAACATGATTAAATAATCATTAGTTTTTGTAAGTCTACTCAGATAGTAAAATAAGAGTTACATACAAGTTCTGAGTAGTTTTCTCCCTTTACTTTTTCACATAAGAGGGTAAAAACCCTATCTTGTTTTTCAGAGCTCCATTCTCAAGAACATTTATGTTCTTTCAAGAGCTGACACACTTCACTTTCCTTTTTTTTGAGCCATTCCACAAAGTTTCACAATCCCTAGGAGACTGCAAACAAGTATCCCCAGCATTACAGGGATCCTATTTTTCCCTACTTCATTTACACAAATAATTAATTTTAATAAGTATGCATGGAATGATACATTAAAAGAGAAAGCTGTTCAACAGCTTAAAAAAGATTAATTTTTTTTAAATAAGCTTTATCTTATCTATTTTATAATAAGTATATCTTGTTTGCAAGTCCATGGCTGCAACAACACAATCTTCACATGTTTAGCAGCAAAGAATTCAGACTGAAAACTTGTCAGCAGCTGCATTCAGATTATGTAATAACTTCATGTGGTGTGTGGTCAGTCTCTTTAAAGCCGTTACCCACAGAAATGTTACTAAACCCACTGACTATTGTACCAAAAGGCTTTTCTTTATTAGAGAGTTCATTATCACTATTAAAAAATGCCTTCCTTTAAAAACTTATCTACAACCACTGTCCCGCACAGCTTTAAAAGCCAAATACTCTTATTTTAGAATAATACAAGTGATAAATTAGTTCTTTTAAGAGTACAGAAAAGCTTTTTAAAAGGACATTAGGTTTTGCCAATGTATCAAAAATACATTTACATACACCACTCATTTTAGGATTATTCTTACAGCCATTTTCCATGGAATTCTGTGAGTAAAGAAAAATCTTTGCTGAACAAACAGCATAGTTGTAGCAGGCTATGACCAGAACAAACTATTAGACCTATTAAACTATGATTAAGTTGGGAACCAAGCACCTTAATCCTCAGCACAAAGCCATCACTGCACTGCACAACACATCAGCAGCTACAAGATTTGTGCAAACCCAAGAGAACTTGGCCACCAACAGGGACAATTTAAGTGTCAGAGCCTGTTCAGCTGCAAACTTCTATTCCACCCACTACCTGAATTTTTTCATGCTAAAAAGACTTTGGGGAGAAACAGGAAAAACACAATTATGACTGCAACACTACGTACTTTGGAAGGAAAAAACATTTTTAAGAATTGTCAGGAGTAGGCCATAAGCTACCTAACTTCAAAGCTTCCCTAATTTCCATTATTCCTCAGTTGTGAGTCACTGTTGTCACTACAGAGACATCTCATCTGAGTAAGTTTGTTCTGAAATTCAAGACCTCTGTTCCTACCCTGCAGGAGCCCTAGATGAACTATATTAAGATGATGAAACCAGCTATCAAGTTTCAGAATGAGCACACGTCTGTGGCTCTGATTCAGAGCATAAAATGAAAAAGCTAAAATAAACTGTACAGTTTGTTTTAAAACCTGACACTATAATACCAAAAATAATTAAACCAGCTGAGATGCAAAATTCTGTTCTTCAACAGCCCAAAATTTTCATGGGAAGGTTAAAACTAGGAGCAAGGAAATTTAGGTGCAGCTCAATGCACAGAATTACACGTCGGCAATACAAGCCATGAGTGGAAGAAACAGAAACTCCAAACAGCGGTGGAACCAATGTAATACAAAGATGTTCATGCTGGTAGCATGATTCGTAAAAGAAAACACGTTGTGTTCGGCGTTATAAATCTGACACAAATAAACCCAGTGAGAGGAAGAACAGGACTCATTCTCACAGGCCAGAATGCTGTGGCGTTATGAGATTCACCAATGCGGCCGCTGTGCAGACACCCCGGGCCAGCCCTCCCAAAAACAGAAACACGTGTGCTCAGCTTCCGAAATTACACCGAATATCGCATTTCACCGCTTCTCTCAGGACTGCTTCACGGCAGGGCACGGCCTGAGACCCGCCAGGCTCCGTGCAAGGCTCAGCTCTGCAGGACAATGATCCTCCCCCGCCCAACCGGAGCATCTTCTCCGCTCCCCGGGCGGCTCCGCGCAGGACGGGCCAGGAAAGTCCCGAAACTCCTCTGGAGCGGCCAACGCGCCGCTCGGGGATCGAGGCTGTGCTGGCGGAAAGGCCCAGCAGGGCCCGCCAAGAGCGGAGCCACCGCCACCCCGGCCTAGCCCGGCCCCGCCGCTGAGCCCGGCTCCCTCAGCACCGCAGGGGCGGCGGCGGCGGCCCACGGGGACCGCCGGCGGAACCGGCCGGAGCGCGGCCTGAGCAGGCGGCCGCGCCCCTGCCTGACGGCGCCCAGCGACGTCCCGCGGCCCCGCTCGCTCCTCACCTCCTCCTGCCCGGCCCGGGCCTCCCGCCCGCCCGCGGGTCCGCCCCGGGGCCTCAGGCGCCGGGAGCCGCGCCGGCCCGACCCTCTCCGCACTGCCCCATCGCCGCCGCGGCCGCGCAGCGAGCGCCCGCACACCCGCTCCTGCTGCCCCGGCGGGCCCGCCCCTCGGCCCTCCGCCAATCACAGCGCGCCGGCGCTAGGGCTGCGCAGTGCTATTGGCGACGAACGCCGCCAGTCACCAGCGGATTCGGGGGTTTCCAGCGCATCGCGCTTGTATGAGCCGCAGGGGAGGGGGCAAATGGCGGAATACTCCCCCTGGAGGCCGCTGATTGGTCGCACAGGGCGGGAGGGCGGGACTTCTGGCACACCGGAGGCGCTGATTGGATAGCGTGCGCGTGCCCCCAGGGGCGGGGCGGGCGCTGCGTGCCTGTGCTGGTGCGCGTGTCACACCCCGCTCCGGCCCCGCGCGGGGGCAGTGCTGCCTGAGGGCTCCGCGGCCTGAGGGGTGTGAGCTTCGGTGCCTTGGGCTCCGGTGTTCGCGGCCGCTCCGCCCCGAACGAGCCCGCCCTGCGAAGGGACACGCCCGCGTCCTGAGCCGGAGTCGCTGGTCGTTGTCCCCGGTGTGCGCAGCACGTGGGGAGGGACAGACGGTCCTCGGAGGCGGCACAGACATCGCGGTGCGGTCCGGAGCCTCCCAGCCCCGGCGGGGTTAGCGGCAGTCCGTCCGTGTGCGCTGAGGGGAGCCAGGAGCGGTTCAGCCGTGCCGGGGCACGAGGGGCCGCTCCCCCTGCACAGCCCGGACTGTGCCGTGAGCCCGGCGTGGTTCCGAGCGTTCATCCCGCTGCAGCCGCGGCCGCTCCGGCCCCACAGCCGGCTCACGGATGTCAGGCTTTGGCCTGGCTTCAACAGCCGCTTCTGAAATATTTTTACTCCCAAGAAATTGAACTAATGCTGCTGCATATTTCATGTAATAAAAGCCAAATGTGGTTCGTCTTTACCCGACCTACTTTAGATTGTGCCTGTCATCTGAATGCTGCGCTATTCTATCCACTTAGCAACTTCCACTGCTCCACTTATTCTATCCGCCGCTGTTTATAGATAGTGAGCTCTGCTTAAATTATGAATGAGAGAATGAGCTCTGCTATAGAAGGGAGTTTCTCAACAGGACAGTTAGGTTTAAAAACTCCATTTATGCATTCAGCATTTCAGAAAAGCATTTATTTTAGAGAAGATATGTTTTTATTCATGTAGGATTCTAAACGAGTGCTTTAAATTTAATTTTAAAATATTTCCAAAGTTTTGCACTTTTAGAAGTGACCTTCCTACAAAGAAGCATCTTCTAAGGATATAGCATTTGATCATGCACCTCAGGAGGTTACAGTAATATTGGCATATAAATAAACACTTTCCTTGTTTCTTAGCATCTGTAGCATTCCCTTAACATATGGTTTTATGTAATTTAGTAACGTGCAGTTCAGCATTAGCTAAAAGCTGTTCCAGTTCCCCTGTTCCCTGCAGCTCTCAGAATCCAGAGACAGTCAGTAAGCAGACCCAATGCACCCCAGATCAGGCTGGAGTGCCCATTTCTAAGTTCTGAAGCACTCTGAGTCACTACCAAGGATTTTGCCAGGAAGATGGGAGGGCAGAACAGGGGGTTTATTTGTTTGGGTATGTGCAGGATGGAGAGGACACAGACAGCAGCAGGAGATTTTTGGGAACTCCCAAGGGAGCGATGAGATTCCATCTGCTGTGGAATGAATGCTCACACTAATCATTCCCCCTAGTTCCTTAAAAGAAAAATTGCATTTCGAAGTTTCATTTAATTTTTAAACAATAAATAACATTGAAAATATATTATACTAAACAATATGCTAAGATTTATGCCTTCCTGATTTTGCAGAGGAGCACAGAGTAACCCCAAGTCATGCTCTGCTGATCCTCAAGGTGGCTATCTACACACAGCTGCTGCAGCCTCTGCTCCTGGAGCTGCCTTTGTGCTACTGCAAACTGCATTAACACGTCTGCTAGAAGTCCTCTTATCCCAAATTTCACTATGTTTACACACTGGGTATAAATAAATCATATGTGGAACATGGCTGTAAGTATCAGCCAAAGTACACCATAATTATATGTGAGAAGAAAAGGGGACAGATACATTGATATATAAATATCAGACTTCTTGATAGGAATGACTACATGTAGTGGTCCTCATAACTCAGAGCCAAAATTTTAAAATATTTTAAAATATTTTAAAATATTTTAAAATATTTTCATATTTAATAATTAACATTATTTTAATATTTTAAAATATTCTGTATTCCATGTTAATTATGCACTTAATTCAGTAGGAAAAATGACCGACATGGCCCATTGACAAAGGCTGTCACTCTGCAGACAGAGCAGTGCTTGTGACATTTAACCCAAGTTAAAATCCTATTGACCCACTGGGCTTGCACACAGCTCTGTGTCACTGCCAGACCTCAGATGAAAGGCAGGCCCAGACTGCTGTTTACTCCAAAGCTCCTTCATACTCGTTTAGAAGTATGAAGGAGCTGCAAAGTGATAACAGGACTTTGGCAATGTACAATGGGCCTGCTACATCTCTTTTATGTTGAAAACCCTGTCAGTAACACCAACACGAGACATTTGCCATTAAACAGCAAATGATTTCTTTAAACCACACTCTTGTTAAGAGAGACATGTTTTGTAATAATGAAGTATGGTAAACAAATTTCACTTCCAAATGACACAACACTGTGCAGTTACATATTATAGCATAGCATGGAACAGAATTTTGTGCTGTGCCCGGATAGGAGTATGGTATTCATTTATCACAGCATTGCCCCAAAAGTGCAGAATATTCATCAAAACAGATGATTTTTTTTCTGCTAATTCAAACATGGAAATGGTTGGTATTTATCCAGCTGCATTAAAAAAAACAGAGAGGAAAGGTTCTTGTAGAAGCATCAAAGACAACATGACTGCATTTTCTAAATATTAGTTATATGATAAAAAGTGACTTAGATAAATATGTCAGGTATTTCTGCCTCCTCTTGTTTGTTTAGGGCTTTTTGTCATTATCTACTGTTCTAATGAATGATTTAGTAAAATAAATCATGTTTAGCTAAATATTTAGGGCTTGAGATGGAAAAGAGCACAGACTGCAAAGCTGCCTAAAGCTGCCCTTCTTAGGACAGAAGCTGTAGAGTACTTTGTAAAGGGATATTACAGCAACATTCTTAACAAGAATAAGACCTTGCTCTGCTTGTGATAAAATGCCAATAAAATCTGCCAGAAAACTGCAGTTCATATATGACATTGATTTAGCTCTTAAGTTTTCCAGCTGATACCAGCTTTGTAGTCTATGGTTAAGTATTGTATCTGTCAGGGTTTGTGTAATCTGTCTGATTGGGAAAATGGGAACTGCCCAGATCAGGGTATAAATCAAGGCAGAGTGTTTGACACTGGGGCAGCAATCCCTTTTGGTTCTTTAACTATCAAAAGCACACAGCCTTTCAATAGTGGCAGGCATCCTTTACATGGCATCACAATGCTGGCTCATCTCTTGGCTGCTCACCAAGGTTTGCCCATAAACTTTCCAGTTATTCTTCTTTAAATGAGTAATTTCATCTTAAATGGGTATGGAGGACATAACTCACATGACAGCCACCTTTTATGCAATGCACTGTTATGATTTTAACCTTGCCTCTCCCCTGCATTATTGCAGAGCACACATTTCCCATATCCCCTGGTAGGTGCATTGTAACACTGTGGTCTGTATGCCTGACAAGGTCAGTGCTCGCACAGAACACAAACTCTGAGTGAGCCACTGCATCAGGATCCCTTTTCCATCCCTGACAATGACAGAAAATGCTTTTCCATTAAAATTTACCACAGTTTTATGAGTATTAAGGTAAATTGATGGTGTATGTGCACTTGCCTGTCTCTCAGAATGCTTTGGTGCCATTGTGAAAATTTTCTTTTCAACTGCTTAACCTTTACATAATATTTGACTGTTGGAAGCATAGCTGAGAATATAAAAAGAAATATTAGTTACGCATTCTGCTAGCAAACAACACTGTGTACTGCAATGTGTTTTGCATGTGCTGATCAAGTAGACACTTAGGAAAGTAAAATGCTGCCAGACTAACAGCACTGGGTCCCAGTGAAGGACTGTTTGGACCAAACCTGAGCTCTGGGAGCAGGATGAGGAGCAGCAGCAGCCTGCCAAACCTGCTGTGGATGTCACAGCTCCTGGGCATGAGGAACACCCTCAGGAACCAGCTGTGACCACAACAGCTGCCTCTACTCAGGCAGGCAGAAGTCTTGTGGAACACCCTTGATTTGTAAATATAATAACACATTTCATTTCTTTTAATCATCCAGGCTAATTTTACTAGAACTTATTTATTCTGAAATAATTGAAAGTAGAGGTCACACTTAATATACTGAAAAATGTACTTTTTTCTTTTCACTCTACCAAGAGCAGGACAATAGCATTAAACATCGCAAAATAATACACTGCTTTTTGGCAACACATAAATTAACTGTTTCCAAATTCAAAGTTTACATACATCTGTAAACTGTCAGCATGAGTGAAATATGCTGAAATCCGCCCCGGTTTTTGCTCACAATTGTAACCAAAGCCATAAATCTAGCTTTAAAGGAATGAGAGTAGTGCCAGGAACCCAAGCCTTGTCTGCACTTAAAAGAGTTGGCTGGTACAGCTACACCTTAGAGCTGAATTGGCAAGCACAGATTTCTTTTCGGGTGTAACTTAAATCACTTTTCTCATGGAATAGGCTAAAGTGGCTGAAGGACTCTGCCAATACAACAGCATCCACTCCAGGGCTTTTGCCAGTGGGGCTGTAGCTGCATGCAAGGGATTTTTCATCATTCTGACAGCTATTTTGGCAAAACTCCTACATTTAGACCAAGTCCAAGTTAAAGTTGGCATTGTTTTACGTTGCAAATAAAGCAGAAGAGAAGTATTACCAGTTTATGGCCCTGATTTTACATTATTTTAAATTATTTGTTCTAAAGGAATGTGTGGGGCAGGATCCATGTGGTCCTTTGGAGGCTTGCCTCCCACATTTGTGCTGCATTAAAATTGCTTGGTTTTTCAGTGACTGAACTTTGGCAAAGGGGAAACTTACCTTACTAAAAAAAGATAATGTCCATTACTTACCCCAAGAATAGCCATCCTGGTGGTTTAAAGGAAATTTCCAGACTGAAGTGAACTCCAAAAGGAAGCACCTGGGCCAAAGGATATGTGGATTAATACATTATTCTTCATCTTGTCCTCAGTTCAACAATGAATTTAAACACATATAGGATTAATTTTAGGCACACTCATAAGCCCATCTCAAGTTTAGTAATCATGTCAGATATGATAATGCTCCTATTTGAAATTTAATTGAGCAGATATTTGAAATTAATCATGTGTTCTGCACTATGCAGAAGCGGCATTTCTGTCAGAAGTGCAAGTTTACCCAGAGCAAGGCTGTTTGTTGTGATGCCACGTGCATTTTTTCCCTGAGCTGGATGTTAAGCCTGTATTTTAAAGACATCCCAAGGGGCATTCTTTTTCCGCATAAGTACATTTTACGCGCTTAGCTCTTTTCCCCCCTAATCTCCCTTTTGCTAAGAGTGGTTTTTTGGCTTCTCAGCCCATGCAGGGTAGTTTGTATGGACTGTGCTGATGGCACGGTTTGCTGTGAGGCCTCTCCGGTACCGGGGGCCGCTGGGCCGGGCTGGGCCGGGCCGGGCCGGGGCGGCCCCGGGCGCGGAGGCCCCGGAGGGCTCATGCGCAATGGGGCAGCGGCACTTGGGGAAGTGTGATTTAACCGAGCCCTCTTCCTTCCTTTCTGTAACACCCAGAATGTGCCCGCTAGCAGCAGGCGCGGACATCTCTTTGTGCGTTTCGGAGAGGCCGGGCGGGCTGTGCGGGGCCCCGCTCGGAGCTCAGGTGTGAAACAAGTGGAAAACTCCGCGATTCCCAGGTGGGTGCTCCGGGTTTGTGATGCTGAAAACCCAGGGCAGGAGCTGGAGCAGCGCTCACCCCGACACGGAACAGGTTGAGTGTCTGCTCTAGATAACATCGTGTAATTTATTGCAGGAGGGTTGTGCTGGCTTGGATTTTTTTTTTTTTTAACATGGAAAAATAAGTAGTAGATTAGATAAAACAGCTTGCCATGAGTTTTAGCTGTCAAAATGAAACTGTTTGCATGAAGTGCAGTTAGTTCAAGGTACATATATTCAAGGTAGAAAACTTGTGTGTCATAACATCCACTTCTGCATTCTTCTGTTTACAAGTGTGTATCCTGGTAAACACTGTTTTAAAACAGTATAAATAAATAAATAAATATGTGTATATATGTGTATATGTATATATACTCATATATATATTTATGAATATAAAAAGATGCACATACAAAGGGTTTTTTTTCAACGTAAACACAGTTTTTCTTATAAAGTTATCCCAACTCATATCCAAGAAAAATGTTGTCATTTAAATCTCTTTGGCCTTTTTCAGATTGCTCATTGAATCTACTATATGTATGCTCTCATGATATATGCTCTTTTGTGATTTTCAAAAGACTGAGCAGTTAAGCAGTAAGTAAGTGGCTATTCTTCATGTTCAAAAAGCAGATCATAAGGAGGACTGAAGAACAGTAAGAACTTTTACTCCAACAATAAGAGCTTCCATGATGCTTTCATTAAGGAGGATGACAACATCTGTACACTTCCTTGTGCAAGCCAGCCAAAGGAGAGGTTTCTGTTAGAGGAAAGTGGTTTGCACTTCCATTATTTCCAGTGAGGAAAGTAATTTCTTTTCTTTTTATAGCCTTGCAACTTGCCAGAAATCGATAAGTCTGCTGAAGTAGTTTCCTCACCTCTGTATCCAGCATTGCAAAACTGTGTGGTAGACGAGTAGAGGCAAAATGATATGTAGCAACAACCCTCCTAAAACCTCCCATTGCTTCATAACTACTGCTTGGGCATTACATTCTTGTAAAATTCTGTTGTTCTGTTATTTGGTTTTCACTTGTTGGCTGAACTGGGAGCAACACTTTGCTCATGCTGAGGGAACACAGCATCTTGACAAAGTTGTTAGGACGTTCTTAGAGCTTTTTCAACTTCTCGTGTAACACAGTGGTGGAACAGGCAAGTTTTGTTTGTTTGTTTAAAAAAACCCCAACAACTCAAAGAACATTCTTAAATGTGGAGATATTTAAGCAGCAGAATGGCCAATGTGGTCTATGGAGCAGGAGTATATTGTATTAAGCATTTTGTCAGTACATGGTAAAATAATGGTCCTAGTAGAACAGATCTAAAATAGCACAGTATACCTAGGGTAAAAGAACAAGTAAAAGGAGAATACTTCTGTATAATAATTAAAAAATTCAGATCTCCTGCCACCAAGCCATTGTCAAAGTTAGTTGTTTTGTTTTCACAGTACAGAGACAAGTCTCTGGAGAGAACCTAAAGCTGTGAAATATGATAAAAACTTTATACTATTTTAGATACCACCCTATTTTGTCCTACACGTGATTAAGAACAGACAATAAGTTTTTGAGTCCTGAGAAGAGTAAATTTTAACAGTGTAAGAGAACCAGGCTGCTGGTTATACTAATTATCTCAAAGATTTTTAGTTCATCTGAGCTCACACTTGCAAGCTTGAGGGCAAAATAAAAGGAGGAAGAAATCTGCCCACACTGAAGTTCATGATAAAAATCTCATAGGTAAGAACAGAGTTCCCAGTCTAATCTTATTCAACATAACTTCTTATGGTTTTCTTATTTGATTTTAATCTGACAGAAAAACATCCAAACACTTTCACTGGTAACAGTAATAGGGATGGTTCTGTGCTGTGTAGATATTTCTATTTATTACTTTAGTTTTTATGAAGTTGCACTGATACAAATTCACAGAGAACAAAGAATGAAAAATGAATTAATAGAATGAAAACAAAAGAATGAATAATACAAGAAAATTGCCAAAGTGGATCCCCTAAAGGCATGGTACTAAAATCTCATGGGGTTTGTTATCTTTCAGTGCTAGCAAGCAATGGAGCAAGATTCACACTGCACAGCAGAAAGGGAACTGTTGGAAGCTGTAAGCAGAATTACCACATCTTCTACCACAAATCCATCTGATGAAGAAGAAAACGAACCCAAAGCTGAAATTTCATGTCAAGTGAGAAAAGAAAATCCAGAAAAAGATGACATGCAAGGTTGATGCTACCCTTTAATTTTATTTTTCATCTAGCTGTTTCTGATGTTAATCTTTTGTTTTAAAAACTTTGCTTCTTTATTGCAGCAGTGGTTCAAGGTTGTACTGCCATACTCCACTGAAAAAAGCCTTGAGTACACTTGTAGTAGCAGTAGTAAAACCAATGCTCATCCTGGTGTATGTCTATACACACCAAGATGTTTCCTTTCAAATGCTTCCTTCCTAAAATATATCACAGATTTAATTTACACACCAGGAGTGAAAGCAGTGATCACCAGATGGCTGATCTTGGGAGTGCCCTTTCTGTGCATCACCAGTCTGAGCTCCTTGGCACTTTCAGCAGGGACCAAACTCAGTCCAATCTCAAGCAGGCAGCTCTCACATGCCTTTAAAGAGGCTGCACTGAGCATTCACCATGCCTAACATCACTCTCATCTGTTATTAAATAAAATGTTATCTATAACCTTAAATATATATAATCTCATCAAGATTTTAAATCTGGAAGGATGTCATAAAAACCACCTCTCCTAGGAAATAGATGCTTTGAGCCAAACCCCCAAGGCCTTGATAATTGAAACTGTATGGTCAAATGATTAGGAACATGTAAAAGGGAGGCCACTGAACGAGTACTGTGGTGCCTTTACAAGTCTATTTCTGCATATGCCATTTCCTTTATCCACTTATCTAGCCTATATGGCACCTGATGAAATCTATTGTCAGTAGATTTCAAAGACAGAGAAATCGCCTTTTTGAAATTCTACATCAAATTCTCGTGTAAGCAAACTTTCCAACCAGTTGTCCCATATTTTTTATATGTGTACACACACATATATATATATGTGTGTGTGTCTGTGTGTGTAAATGACTGTGGGAAGAGAGAAAGGGGAAAGGAGGGAGCAATATATATATATATATATATGTAGATAGATATATAGATATATAAAAATAAAATGATATCTTTTGTATATGTGCATATATGTATATATACACATACATAACATATATATATATATAGCATATATATAACTGAGCTGTGCCATCGGTTCAGCTACAGGAAAAAAAAAAAAGAGAGAATTTGGGAAATTCTCCTTCAGCTGAGCAGGTAATCCAACTTTGAGGTTAGGATATTCATGTTTCCTCAACTTTCTTCTATTACTGCACAAACCTCGTATTTGAGTAGGGTCAGTTTTTGAGTATATGTCTGAATTTGCAGCTGCATTGTATTATCTCATCCATTTAGCAACAAAGAAGCCTGGAAAAACATTTGACTCAAAAGACTCAGTCAGTGTTTCTTAGGGCTACTTCTGGGATGATGAAGAAAACCTCCTGCTCAGATTGTGCCCTAGGTTGCAACCTTGACATATAAAATTTCGTGGCAGTCTGTTCTCTACAATTTTGTATTCTGTAGGTGATATCTTTTCTTTCAAAATTTCAGACCCCTAATAGCTCTCCTCAAAGCATCTGTTCTGTCTATTAGCAGTGAAATTTTATTTTATCAGTCTTTAGGTCTTGTTGTTACAGCAACAGAAAATCTGGGGTGTCCTTTCACAACAAATACATAAGAATTTTCTTTCCAAATGCAAGGAATAAAATCTGAAATACTAAATATATTGTTTTTAGATTCCAGTGCAACCCTAAGTCCCAACTCTTCGATGACCACTAAGGAGCTTCAGGAGTACTGGAGGAATGAAAAACGCCAGTGCAAACAAATCAAACTCCTTTTTGAAATCCCATCAACCAGAATTGTAGAGCACCACTTATCTAAATACGTGGTAAGCCAAGAAATGAATATGTAAGAAGATCATTAATTTTCATTCTCTCTGCAGGGGTCTGCACAGCACACAGCAGGCCTCACTACATGAAAGCCTCAGCAAGGGCCAGGTTTTGCAAGCCAGGATCACACTGAGCAGAACCTGTTCTCACTGATTGTATGGGCCTGCCTGGTGGAATCTGCATCTAAAAAAACCCTCTGACAGTCAGTTCACAAAATCTGCTGCAGTGGAAAAGTGTTATCAAATAAATTAGTATCTTGAGTATCCTTAAAACACAGCATTTTGTCAACATTAAGGAAATTCACACAAATGTAAAAATATCTGTATATTTACACTTCCACTGAGCTAGCCAGCTGTAGCAGCTGCAGTGCATTTGTATAACTTCCACATCAGAGGTTTCTCTTAGCACAAGTGCAGAATTCTTTGATGTTGACAAAGTCTAAGACATCCTCCCTCTAGATGACTTGGGATTGTTCCCCTTCCCTACTTGGAGCTCCCTTAGGTGGCATATTTCTGTCATATTTTTAAGATGAAACATGAGTATTAGGAGTGAGAACAACCAAGCAGTTTGGATTTTTGTATCTTTTTACCAGTAGTGACACTTGGCTTTTATTTCTGATTCTGCTCCTGGCCTTCAGAAGGACTGATCTAGACTGAATGCCTTTTAGTACTCCTGTGAAATTCAGATAGGGATGATTTCCTTGTTTGCTACAGTCTGTGAGATCTGTAGATGAAAAATGCCAAGAATCAGCATTGCTGATACTGGGTGATCCAGTTTGGTAGAATTTGAAGCAAATAAATGTTTTGGAGACTGTCCTTACATCTTTTTGCATGCTGGACACACCTACTTAGTTCCTGCTTTTCTTGCATACACCCCTGAATATTCAGCTTCTAAATAGCTAGAAATTGGTTTTGTGTAACTGCATGAGAGCAAGAGTATCATTCAGCAAATGTGCAAATAAACTTAGTCATAAGTCACAAGCCTAGGCAAAAAGATTTACTTTACGACAAAACTGAGCCAATTTGAATGACAGTCTAATTAAGTGCTACTTCTTACCTTCTTCATGCACACTCCACAAATAAAAAAGCAAGTACTTGTAAATTATTCACTTAGCTGCCCTTGATAAAATGATAGCTTAAAAAAATTCCTCTTATGATTGTTTTAGAATGCATCAGGCATATATACACTTTTCAGCAGGGAGCAGGACAAAGTATACGAAAATGTCACAGTGCTTACAAATGAAAAGAGATCAGAGAAGTCAGCTCAAATTTAGAAACCTTTCAAGAACTGCCTGTAAAGATCATTTATGAAGATTAAAAGAGAGAATTTCTCTTTAAGGAAAAACAAGGAAGAGAATCAGACAGGCATAATGCGAGTAGTGGTTTGCAGCCTTCCACAGCAGCAGAGAAAACAGCTGGCATGAGCAAAACCCCTCCAGCTCCTCTGTAAATTAATGGGCACAGGGTGAGGTTGGATGTGAACATGGTCATCATCCAAGACGCCAGCAGTCTGTGTCCTTAGCTGGTGACACAGTTAAACTGGTCCCCATGGAGCTACCATGGTTTACACACGTTAGGGATTGGCCCTTCCTCAGAATCACTGTGAGAAGAGATTATTTGGACAACACAGCGCAGAATTTTGCAGCTATTTGCCCAATACCACATTTATTATGGTCTTTTTGGGGCTAGTGAAGAGCTGAGGAAGATGTGCTCTTGAGTACTGTTAAGTGGGGCAGCACAGCTGTTAGCTGCTAGTGAAGGGCTTTGGATAGCAGATTGCTGTAGAAATGTTGCTTTTTTGGTATTATTTAAATGTGAATTAAGTTTGAATACAGGACAATGATTTAGAGGAGAGAAAAGTATTTGGAGTTGCTCCATCTTATTTTTGCACACATCAGATATATTGCCAAACACTCCCTCTTCTTTCACAGCATTACTAGCACCCCAAATCCCAAGGAATGTCTTATACAAAGAGCATTTCTGAATATTATGACCGATGTGAAATAGATTACATTCAATATTAAGTCTGGGAAATCCATTCAGTTCACTGAAGATGATTGATTGCAGCAGCCATGGCTGTTATAAACAAAGTACAGCTACAGAAACGCTTTGGGAGTGTTTTCATGTGTTTCAGCCTGCTGCTATTTGCTTTCCCAGCACCTTGCAGGATGGGATCTGGTAGTGCTCTCTTTATGTACAAGTTACTTACGTGCTAAGCCTAAGCCTGGTGACAGGAGTACAGAACAGCAGGAGGAGGGGATTTTTAGTTTGATGGCTGCAGATCTTTCAGCTCTACACTGAGCATGCACCATAATCCCAGGCAGTAACTGATTTAGCAGCACTGCCATGGGAGTACACGAGATTACACACAGAAAATTGGTGCAGGAGTGTTTCAGCTGGAGGACTGAACAAACACAAAGTCTGCTTTGCAGACAAAATCTGACTGCACTGGGGCTAGAATGGTCCCTTCTCATGCTTATTTTTTCTCTTTGATTGTGTTTAGATGTATAAAATCATCATTTTGCAAACAGGGAGCTTTGACAGCAACAAGTCCATAATTGAACGGCGTTATTCAGATTTTGAGAAACTGCACAGAAATCTGCTGGAAGAATTTAGCGAAGAACTGGAAGATGTAACCTTTCCCAAAAAAACTCTAACAGGAAACTTCACAGAAGAAATAATCAATGAACGAAAATTAGCCTTCAAGGACTACCTGAGACTCCTCTATTCTATGAAATACATCAGAAGATCAAAAAAATTTATTGACTTTTTAACAAGGCCAGAGCTTCAGGAAGCATACGGTTGCCTGCGGGGTGGCCAGTACACCAAAGCTTTGGAAATCCTTTTAGAAGTCATTGGGCTGCAGGAAAGGCTGACAAGAGGGAACCCTGTTGCAATTGTCCCCACCCTCTGTGCCATCGTGGTGTGCCACAAGGACCTGGAAAACCCAGCAAGCGCCTTTGAGTATGGAGAGAAAGCTCTGTCACGACTCTGTGTGCACACCAGCCACAGGTATTACATGCCACTGTTAGAAACAATGATCGCTCTGGCATATGAACTTGGCAAGGATTTTCTGTCTTTGCAAGAAAAACTGGAAGAATGGAAGACAAAGAAAGATCCCGTACGGGTTTTTACCCTGAAAGAACTTGCAGTTCGGGAGTACGTACGGTGAACACAAGAAAAAATTAATGAAAGAGCAAACTCTTGGAAGATTGAGAACTGGAAATTACCTGATTGGGTTGCTTAACATTGTATTAACAGGAAAAACAATTAAGTATCCTCTATGCTCAAAGGGACATTAACATCTATGTTGGAATATGTTACATCTATTGTACAGATATGAGGAGTTCCCGAGGAGCACTTTAAGGTTTCTTGAAGGAAATGTGCTAGAAAAGAATCATTTATGATTTGGTTATTTTGAACATAGCTTATTTTGTGTGAAAAGTCAGAATAAGAAAATACAATTAATAAAGCACTTGAAAATCTACAGAATGAGGCATTACTTGTTCATGTGGAAACTACTTCCTTTCAAGAAAGGAAAGTCATCCTGTCATCCTCAAACATTGAAAGTAGTTTTTTACTCCTCCAGCTGAGGCCTGGTCAAATGAGACTTTGCCATTTCTGAGGATGATGGGGTTGGTGCTGTTCCCACTGAATTCAGCTGCTGTGGGCAGGAGTGGGATGATTTACAATCAACTTGGGTGGGAGCAAAAAATAGAAGTGAAGATCATTCCATCACAGATGAGGAAGTACACTTTATCTCCCTTTTGGAACTAACACAATTTTTTTTACTTTTTGCATTGAAGGCACATTCTTTTTTGCTTGCCTGCCTTGGTAATTTCCCTCCACTTTAAGATCTCTCCCATACACTTATTTTAACAATCTGGTAAATTAATTCTCATAAATATTGTAATTATCTTGCCATTATCTAGCATGGGTCATTATTCTCTGCTGAACATAGTCCACTGAGTACTTTCAGCCCTGGACTTCTGTTACAGATACTACCTGCACCACAATGACATTGTGTGTAAATTAGGAATAACTGTATTAATTTATCTCCTCAAGACATGAAAGATTCAGCTAATTGGAAGTGCACTGAAGCTGAAAACTTTGTTGTGTATTGTTACAAGAAGAATGTCTTGAAAAAAATACAGAATAATTGGACTGTCTAGGGTGGAAAGTTAATATTTTAAGTAGCTATTAACAGCTAGGCATTAAACACAAAATACATGGATTACTTGTTATTTGACAATTATTATTTTTGGTAGTTATACAGAAGTAATAGAATTAAGAGTAATTAATTAAGAGACTTAAGGGCTAATCTTCTCACAACATAGCATATTGCAGGACAGTTAAAATGGATCAAAGGTAACACCTTCTTAGAGGATGTGTGAATCAGTAACAAAGCAGTGAGGAAAAAAAGCATGTCTGGGGTCTGCATCACACCCAGGCAGTTTTGAGTTCAGGCAGAAAGGAAGCATGGCCTTCACACTGCTGTAAATCCCCAACAGATTGTGATGAAAAACCAAAAGAATTGGAAAAAATATTTCCTCTCTTTTGCCCCCTCCCATCTTTGTGTGCAGCATCCCAGGCACAGTTTTCTTGGATTCTCCTCAGTTTTTGTGGGATGGTCCATGAATATCTACCAGCCTCCTTAAAGGCATGTGAGAGCTGCCTGCTTCAGATTGGCCTCAGTTTGGTGTCCTTGCTGATAATTGCCAAGGAGCTCAGACTGGTGATGCACAGAAAGTGCACTCCCAAGTGATCACTGCTTTCATTCCTGGTGTATAAATTAAATCTGTGATATATTTTAGGCAGGAGGCATTTGAAAGGAAACATCTGAGTGTGTATATACACACCAGGATAGCATTGGTGGGTTAGGGTTAGGATTGGATTATGGTTAGAGTGAGGGTCAGGGTTAGAGACAGGATTAGGGTTAGGCCATTATTGTTAGGGTGAGACCTTTCAGGTTAGTGTTGGGGTTAGGCCATTAGGGTTATGGTTAGGGTTAGGGTCAGGGCCATTAGGGTTAAGGTTAGCGTCACAGTTGGGATCAGGTTCAGGGCTAGGCCATTAGGATTAGGCAGTTAGGGTTAGGATTAGACAATTAGGACTAGTCTGTTAGGGTTAGGTTTTTGTGGCTTTTGGAACCCTAACCCTAGGCAGAGCAGTAAAATTAACCTTGGCAAGGGCTGGTTCAAAGGAGGAAGCTGTGGAGGAAGCCACGTTGTGGCACTTCCACGTTCCCCTTGGGATGCCTTTTGCAGCTGCAGTGTGCCTGGAGCTCTGGGCTTTCTGGTTTTCGGAACCCTCACCCTAGGCAGAACCCTAACCTTAGGCGGAGCTTTAAAAGCAGTCCTGGGTGCTGTTTCCAAAGAGAAAGCTGTTGAAGTGCCCATGTCACGGCAGTTTTGTGTTCCCCTTGGCATGCATTTTGTAGCTGCACCGTTCCTGGACTTTACCTGGGTTTTATCTGCCACATACTTTGTCTTTAGTCAGAAGAAGGAACTTTATCTCTGTGCCCTTATTTCCTCCCACAGTACTTCCCCATAAAGTTTCCTGATTCAGGTTCCCCGTACTCATGGGGGGTGGCTGGAGCTGGTCTCCAGCTGAAGGTCTTGAGACCCAAGCTCTGCTCTTGGCAGTGCCCCAAGCCCCCTGAGTGACTTTGATCAACTAATCAAATCTCAGATTTCTTTTGAATACCAATATTACTTTGTCTTCTTCTATAAAACTATATTTTACTTATATTTAAGCAGTACATTCCAACGTATCATTTCCCCCATTTTACAGCTAGGGGAATTGTGGTACAAGTAAGAGAAGTGATTTTTCCCGAAGTCTAATGCAGTGGTCTGGAGACCACACTGACTGCCTGAAGAAATACTGAAGCACAGCTGGCATCCCAGCTTTGCAAAAAGAGATGTGCCACAGGTGTGTGTTCTTAAATACCTCTTACATGAACACCACAACACAGCTTCACCTGTGCCTGCTGCCACACCCCTGAGAAAACTGCCTGAGGTGTCGATGCAAGAGAAAACATTTCTGACTAATTAATATATTTGAAGAACTAATGAGGGGTTGAATAGCACAAATATTTTAACCACCACTTTATAAAAATAAAAAAGCAGAAGTCTTGCCTAAGAGATTCTTAGAATATATAAAAAGCCTACAGACTTCAGTATCATTTTCCGCAAGAAGGAGCAGAAAAATATTTTCAAATACATTTTTTTTTCAGTTTTAAGTATTTCTTGAAACTTTGGAATTTCTTTGCAGTGCTCTTGTAGCCTAAACAAGAAGAATCCCACAACCACTACAGAGTACTGTATACATCAGCAATCTGGTACTATCCACTTTTCTCAACAACAGCACACAGTACATCAGAGCTTTGCAGTATGGTGCTACTTTTCCAATTGCTGTTGACATCTCTGAAGTGTACCTACAGCAGATACCAATCCAAGTATAAATTCACATTTAACTTTTTCCCAGGAAAAAAGGTTAAGAAAAAAAGCTGTCCAGCCAACATCTGCCTAGCACGTCTAACAAACCACAGGCTGCATACAAGTGAGAAAAAAATTTAAATAAAATCTGGGCAGATCATCTCCAAGAGTCCATGGAGAGTTGCATTACGATCTATTGAGCTTTGCCCCATTTCCATATCAATTATTATATCATTTGGGGCATTAAGTAGATAATACTGTTTACACAACTTTCTAAAATAACTAAAGAAGCCCATGAGGATGCCTAGTTACTTATGAAACATATGCAGACAAGATGCTCTCTGTGCAATGCAGCATCTTGTTTACAGGGAATCCTGTGATCTTTATCACATACTTGTTATTAACTCCTGTTATCTGCTGCATCACTGGAGGATAATATTTGCTTTCCTGAATCTTAATAAGGCTAAATACATTTGTTGAATTCAACAGATTTGTACAATCAGCATGGGAGTCGGGTTCAGGACACAAGATGAAATCTAGGTTTTGTGGCTGAGGCAGCAGCTGAGCAAATCAAATCAAGAATGTTTATTTTTTTCATTAGATCAAAGGCAGGAGCAAGATGTGTTGAAAAACTAAACACAGTTGTAACGGTGTAAAATACCGAATGTCAATTCCCATCTGGATGAGGTGAGAACCCCAAAGAACCAACCTATTTGCATGCAGATCACATTACAACATATGTTCATCACACTTAGTGAATATGTATATGCTCTGTAGATGCACAAGACACAAATTTTCCTGTCAGACCAGTAAGAGCTGAGAGTAGCTACACTGAAATAAATTAGGTTATAATGTAGTTGAGGACAGAATAAGTTCTACTGTCTATACAAACAATCTCTGTAGTCAGTGGATGTGTGGAAGGACAGATGGTTGATGAGGGGAAAGAGCAAGCAAATTTGAATGTTTTGATGCTTAATAAATGCTTTCCAAGTGTTTAGGAAATTCAGATCAAAGTTACTTTTACAAGAACTTCATGGCTTTATATACAAATATATATATAGAGAGAGAGTGTACCAGTTTTAAACATGCAACCCTCTTTTATTAGAAATAGGAATACGTATGTAACTGTAATTATTCAGAAAAATGCTGCAGAGAAATACACTGGATGATCCTCCATATACTAACCTCTCTAAACTAGTGTAATTTAAACATTTTTCATTCCAGACAGTGCGAGACTCTGTGATAACCGATAGGAAATATTAAAGAATTTTACGGAAAATGCAGGCCCTCAATCCCACTGTTTTTCCCGGGTGGCAGCGATAGATTTATGTCCCCTGGCAGGGCTGCAGTGCCACTAGATGGAGCCGCAGCATTTTCAGGAGCTCGGGACCCTGCGAGCTCAAGGGAATGGAGCAGAGAACTTTTTTTAATGACTTGAATTTCGTTTAAAAAAAAAATCTACTCTAAAGTCTAACATTTAAATTTTAATATGATTAAACTAAATATATATCTCTCAGCTCCATTGTGGGTTCAGACTGTAGCGCCTTGCTTTCCAGCTGTCCTTCAGGACAATTTACCACAGCCCTTTATCAGGCAGAGCTCTAGGAGCTGGCTGGAAAGCTGAAAGAGAAAATGTTCTTGCAGGCTTTTAGACCTGGTGAGTTCAAAGCCAGAATCACTGCAGCGTCTCAGTTCCTACAGTACCTTTTCCTTCTGATCAAAAGGAACCAAGTAAAACTCACAACTCTTAAAAGAACTATCAAATAATGGGGGGAGGGAAGCAAAAATAAATGGGCCCATAATGCCTTCTGAATAGTGCTGGGGAAAGTTCAATGACTCCATTTTAAAAAGCTGCACTCCCAAGTATGAAAACGAGATCTGATTCTGTTTTGAGTGCAACTACTATAAAATCCATCTGTTAATTTATGTACAGGCAGAAATATA